CACACATCTTCCTGCCTCCACGCCGGCTCGCCCCTGGCCGCACAGCACGATCCGGAACCGTGCTTGTAAGACACACATCTGGTCGCCTCGTTCTTCTCCCTGAAGTTCCTCAACACCATGCTGCCCCCCACCCTGCCTTAAAGGGTACAGTCCAAGTCCTGAGCCAGAGACAGAAAGACCTTTAGCGACTGGGCCGCTTCCTGGCCCTCCAGCCCCATGCTCCCCACTCTCCACCTGGCAGTAACTTCTGCGCTTGCAGGCCCCCGAGCCCGCGGTACTTCATCTACAAGTGCTCAAATCTGCTCTGCTTTTTGCTCAGGATCTCTCCTTCAACTGTACATCATCCTTAGCTCTTATCACAAACAACACTCCCTCCAGGGTCTTTCCTCCCAGAGCCCCCACCCCTCCTGCCCAGTGCTGACAAGACTGTGACACTGCTGGTCTGAGAGGACAGTAAGCACCACGGAGCAGGGACTGTGCCGACTTGTTCACTGTGCCTCTTCTGCGCCGAGCATCAGGCCCAGTGCAGGGTGGGTGCTTAAAAATATCTCCAATGAAAGCATGGATTAGGAGGACGGAGGTTGGGGCATCGGTAAACTTCCCAGTGGCTAGGTAAGACTGAAGACAGTCCAGGCTTGTGTCAGTACCCAGCCATTCTGGAGATGTGTACACCTGGTCGTGGAAGGGACCGAGTAAAGAATCTATGAACAAATTAAAACATGTCTTCACAGATGCTGCTAGAAAGCAATGAATGCTCACGGCCACTGAGGATGGGCTAGGAGCACCTCTTCTATAAATATATGAAAGCATATTTTGCCAATAAGAAAATACATTCAGCCTTAACTACAAAGATTTTTATTCCGTTCCTTACCTGCTTTTTACAAATTGCCTGAATTCCTGAAGCTTCCATTTGTCATATTTTTCAAACCTTTTGAAGTGTTCTTCTGCGTGGAATTTATCAGAAGATGAGTTATAGGCAAACACCAACCCACACTGGGCACCAATGCCACCACGTCGAACCTAAAAACAGAGATCTAGCTCAGGTACATGGAAGGTACAAAAATCCTGCGGCTGTTGTGTTTCTAAGTAATACAGTTAAATTCAAAGAGCTTAAAGCAAAATCAAACTAACGAAATGATATTTAGTCCTAGAAAAATAAAAACATTGCTTCCTAAGGAAAGATCCTTTGTATTCACACATCCCCAGACAACAATCTACTCATCTCTGTGTCCCTGCCCTCTGCTACAGGCCTGGCACAGAATGGTCACAACACAGGTGATGAAAACCAGTGACAGACTCTGAAATGGAATCCTATTTTAAAAAATAGCAGTAACATTGCTTAAAGAAGGTAGTAAGAGAATTACCATAATTCTGATCTGTGTAACCTGGAATGCAGATTCAGTTCCTGTAGAAAAAATGGTACTTGCTCTGGTCTTTCCAGTCTCTGTAAGAAACCCTGCAAAAGGTAGACAGTGAAGTGAGGATAACCGACTCATTTGTCATAACCCTAAGAACCCACAGAGACCAACCAAACACACCAGATCCTTTGTGTGTGGCGGGGGGTAACTAGTCTGTCTCGTATTTTCATAAAAATCAGAAACAGATTTCCCCTCTGCACAGGTGTGAGCTCACTGCCAACCCCTAGGTAACAGACCGTGGCTAGGGTACAGTCTCCTCAGTGCACTGTCTTCTCAACCACACCGGCAGCCCTGCTCTGAGGTAACAAGAAAGATAGATAAAGTTCATAAAGACTGTGACTTAAATTCAAACAGATAAAAGACCTGACAACCAATCATCTTTCCGCGCCTTTCCTAAAACCATGCCTGATGCTTGACTGGGCGGACAGAGGCACGCAGGCCTAGAGGACAGACGACAGAGGGATGAGAACGTCTGGGACACTCTGTCAGGAAAGACTGTGCAAGGCTCTGAAACGGGCAGAAAAGATGGCTGGGTGTTCGTTCCGCTGAGCACACTCTGTGGGCTATCTCCACCTTTCGCTGTCTGTGAGCTATTTTACAACTCCGTAAACAGTAGAGTCAAGACGGTAATGCAGACAGTTCCTGCCCGCAGAAAATGCAGCTGATTATTCTTTTTTTTTTTTTTTAAAGATTTTTATTCATTTTGACAGAGAGAGTACAAGCAGGGGGAGAGGAAGGCAGAGGGAGAGGGAGAAGAGCCTGATGCGGGACTCGATCCCAGGACCCTGAGATCATAACCTGAGCCGAAGGCAGACGCTTCACCATCTGAGCCACCCAGGCGCCCCAATGCAGCTGATTATTCTTCATGAATGTTGACCAATTTTTGTATCTACCTGTGGATTCCTGTCGGCACTCTTATCGGTCTATATGTATTTTATGCATTCTCTTTTGAACTGTTTGTAACATCTTACTGGTCCCCACTAATTAATGAGATAAATAAAAAGTGTAACTGTTCATTTTTCATTTGTATCGAAGTCATGGTTTACCTCTTTTGTTGTCGTGAATTATCCTTTAATAATTCACAAAAAGGTCTGCTGCTAGACCCAAGGCTGCCTTTCTCTTTCAAACCTCTGTAAATGATAAAATTCACACACATGCCCACATCAGCACCAAACAACCACTCATCCTGGAACCATGAACGGTTGGGCCCTCAACCGTTCTGCCTGCTCAAGATTAAACCCGCTTCATGCTGCTTTCATTATACTGAATTCAAAAAAACAAAACTGTCTGAAGTTGAATCTCCATAAAACAATATGCAAAATGTGTCACCAAAACCAAGAAAATTAAAACCAAAGGAACACTGACTAGTTACAAAGGGAAGCTATGGTAGGATCTAGTTCCATCAAACAGTGATTATGTCCACAGTTTTAAGAAGCCACACGGTCAGGAATTCACACAACTCGCCTCACAGTAAGACTAACCTATCCAGCCTGCTCTGGTGCACTGAAGGTCTGCCCAGGTTAACTGACCACCAGCATTTGTCATTTGTCTCAAAGTAGCTGAAGCAATTAACCGAATCAAAAGAGTCAGACACTCTTTAAATGACATTGCCACCAAACACACATCTAAAGGTTTTTTCTAAAGGCCAAAATAAATATATAAACAAAGCCTAAAAGGTAAGTAAAACTTTGTTCTTCCCTTTCCGGGTAAAAAACAAAAAAGAGCTCATGTGATGCCCTAAAGCTCCCTCTGTTTTGATACCGCACCCCCCCCCAATTTATTCTCTTCAAAAGACAGTAAAGAAAATAACCAATCACAGATTAAAGAACCCCTTCGGTGTATGGGCAGCACCCTGCATCCCTTTCAAACACCAGACAGGAAAGCTGTGCTCCAGAGGGTCAATGTGTGGGTCTCCTGGGCACTCACTGTGCAGCAAGAGGCACCTCTCCAGAACTGACACTTCCTGGCACCTGGGGAGTGTGAAGCACAGCCGCGAAAGGGGCCATCCCCTCCCCCGCCCAGGGGAAGGAAAGCAATTCCTCCTCTAAACCCAACTCTTCCGACTGTGAGCATTTCCCCTGCCCCACCCATCGCCTCAGGCTCGTTTTCAGTGGCGACGGCTGTGGAGGGAGTGACCAGGAGAAACCGAGTCTCCTCCCCAGGCCTACGCACATCCCACCTGTGTGCCTGTAGGAAATAAAACCAACATAACCCACAAACTACAACTACTTTAGAAGATCCATCCACCCGAGGGAAGCAGAAGGCAGGGAGGGGAGATGAGCAGATGACACAGGGAGAGTAACAGTATTCGATTCCCACAGCTAGAGAAGAATCTGCAGTCCTTCTGGACTTTGAAGAGTGTTACAAATCCCTATACCACTTTTTCAGATGGTGAAAATACTCTGTATGGTATTATAATGATAGATTCATGTCATTACACATTTGTTTAAACCCCCAGAACATACAGCATCAAGAGTGGACCCTAAAGGGAGCGCCTGGGTGGCGCAGTCGGTTAAGCACCCAACCCTTGGTTTCGGCTGAGGTCGGGATCTCGGTTGTGGGATCCAGCCCCTCGTCAGGCTCTGCACTCAGCACGGAGTCTGCTTAAGACTCTCTTTCCCTCTTGCTCTGCCCCTCCCCCTCACGCACGTGTGCTCTGCACGTGCGCGCTCCTCTCTCTCTCTCTCTCTCTCTCTCTCTCTCTCTCTCTGTCTCGGACCCTAAGGTAAACTGTGGACTTTGGGCAATTATGAAGTGTTGTCATACACTTGTCCACGGTAAGAAAATGTCTCCCTCTGGAGTGATGCTCACAATGGGGGAGGCTGCACGTGTGGGGGGAACACGTTATACAGGAACTCTCCGTGCCTTCCTCCAATTTTGTTATAAACCTAAAACTGCTCTAAAAAAAAGTCTTAAAAAAGAAAGAATAGATGGAGACATGATTTGAAATGGTGATATAAGTAGAAAATAAAAATAAAAAGCTAAAATAAAACAAAAGAGAGGCTTTTCAGTGGATGATGATGATGAGAATACAAATCCGTCGACGTTTTGGGAAGGTTCTGCCTCACATGCTCTGGAGACAGAAACCCTGACTCTCCAGTGTGTGAAGGGAGAACGCAGGGGCCTCTCGCAGAGTGGTCTTGCCTCTCCTGGGTGGGAGCTGGGGTCGGGACGCGTGGCGGGGGAGTGCGCGGCCTGTGTGGCCCCTAGCGGCCCCTAGCGGGACAGGAGAGGGACGCGGTGAAGGAAACATCCCCGCAGAGACTGCGCTGCGCGGGGAGGACTGCAGCAGGAGTGTCCTGCGTAAGAGTCTATGGCACGCGAAGCCCACAGGGAGAGGAGACGCCTCGGGGAGAAGCACGAACACAGGAGACATGACAGAGGAGAGGGGACCACTGAGAACGTATGTGGTCTGCAGTGCTGTGAGGAAGGCCAAGGAGAAAGCAAACCCAGAGCAGAAGGGCAATTCCTGCCAGCGTTTGATAACGACCCAAACAGTCCCCTTCCTGAGCCGAATCGGCGATGTTCTAAGCAGCGCAGTGAGCACAAGGGAGCAAGTGCAGGAGACGAACCAGCTGGCTAGCGAGACAGGGAAGGAAGAGATGCACAGACACACCGAGCCGAGGGAAAGAGCCCGCCACCGCACGGGAGAGCTCCTCAGCAGGCAAGCAGTGAGGTTCTTCCAGACACTCCGGATCCAGAGGGGTCACACCAAGAAATACCCTTCTCCTGAAATTATGTTTTCAGCAGTATCATGCCTCAGATCTGCTGAGTTTCTTAATGATTTAGGGTAACACAATGGAAAAATAATCTGAATTTAAAAATGGAAACTTTTCATATTCCAAAAGGAAGAGTCCTTGCTTTTCAAAACCGAGGGCTCTCAAGCACCCATAGCAGAGTACGAGGCTGCGGTAAGGATGGCAGGCAGACGGCTCAAGAACCACCGCCTCGTGCAGGCCGACCTGGCGTGTGGCCCGCGACTTCCAAGCAGTCCAAGGCCCAGGTCTCACACCGGCAGAGAGTGCACCACGGCCCTTCCACTCACCACACAAGGACAGACCTACCACTCACCGTCTCTCGTCCACGGCTCCATGAGCAGGTTTTCAGGCCCTGACTTCTCCTCTTTCCCTTTGACATCACAGGCCTGAAGGGTCAACTGAAGAGGTTTACCTGATCAAAGAAAAGAGAGAGGATGAGAGCCTTAAGCTGGCACAAAGTAAAAAATAAAAACTAGCAGGCCCGTCCATGGAAACGGAAAGCAGGCGGCCAGGAGACTGCTGGTGGAAAACCACCTGTTGAAAAGCTAAAACAGAGAAGCTGACGCCATCCTTGTACGCTTTCCTGAAGGAGACCAAGTACAGCTTTATGTCCCTATGTGACTCCAAGAGGAGGTCTCTAGAATAACCACTCCTCAGAAACAAAGTACATTATAAGATATAACACTAATACCACAGATTCAACATGTTTGGGAGAGGAATTCCTAAAATAGTGTTTTGGAGCCAATAACTAATTTTATTGCAATTGCATTTATATATATAAATAATATCTTAGGGTCTTGGGTCGTGTTTCTTTAATACACCTACAGGCAAATTTTGAAAGTTTTAGGAAGTTTAAAAAGTACTGTTTGCTGTAACGACCTGAAAGCTTTTCCTTTTTCTCTCATGTTAATATTTTAATGAATACCCATTCACCTATAACCAACCCAGAACTAGAACACTGCCAGTAACAAACATTCCCTCCTGCGTCCCTCCGCTATCCAGTGTTCCCTCCCCAAATAACTGCTCCTCTGAATGGATAACTTTCCTGGAGAGTATATCCCAAACACCACGAATCCCTCCCATCCAGCCGTGCCTGCTATGGGCTCCCTAACCCACCAAAAAATGACCTTTTCAAATTTAAGAGGAAAACTGGATTTACAAGACATCAATTGTCAGACCTTAAAAATTACACATAAAATAAATTACTAAGTTGCATGAAGGCAAAGGCAGAAACAGCATGGCAGAAACAGCACCGTTTGCCCGTATAACTGAAGAGGATGGGATCCGAGATTGTACTTTGTGGACAAAACGTTAGTGCCAGAGGCCGGGATGGCAGATGAGTTGTTCCTCATGTACCAACCGAGAAGGGTTAGGAGGGCCCATCCCGAGTGAGCAGGAAAGCGCTAAGGGGGACGGCGGCCGGGCCCAGGGGGGCAAGGCGGTGGTGGACACACAGCTCTCACAGGGACGCAGAGCGATGCAGTCTAAGACCAGGGTGCTCTCTGCCGTGTCTGGGCCAGTTCCCTCCCTCCTCCAGATGGGAGGTACTCCAACTTCCCAACCGTCTTGGTCTACACCAAGAGACACATCTGTACCTCATCGAAGACGGCTGTGCTCAAATGACCAGCAAGCCTAAGTGGTCTGGCCGGTAAACCCTGGGAGTACAGCCCAGGGGACTCAGACCCTCTTCCGATGCTGCCATCAATGGGCCCACATCCCCCTTCTCCCTGCCAGCCCCTGTAGGAGAGGGTATGTTCATCCCGGAATCACGGGGTAGCTACAAACTGCCCAAGGAGATAAGAAGATGCCAGGTTAATTCTGGTGTTTTGGCTTGTCCACTGCACCTTGCTCACTTACCGTATTTAAGGAGCAGGTTTTGCCTGACAGACGCCATGGAGGAGATGAGGGACGAGGCGTCGTACTGTGTGTCCAGGTGGTCAGTGATGGTACACAGAGAGCCCAGCACTTTGGCCACACTTCCTCTTGCCAGTGCAAAGGCCAGAAGAGTCAGCTCCACCTCTGGAGTCGAACAGCAGCTATAAACAAAGAGCAAAAAACTTGTCACTTCCTAAAAACATGAGGAAATCCAGGTATCCCCCAAACCCCACGTAACTGACCGCCATCAGTAAAATCCACCTGTCACATGCTTTCTATATGTTCATCAGAAATACTTTCTCAAAATCCTCAAGATAACCTAAAGAAAACCTAAGTTAACCCAGAGAACGAGGACATTAACTCCTCCCCTCTGTGCCCTTAATCTGTAACTATTAAAAAATACTAACAATATCAATTTTAACAAGTCAAACTTTATAAACCAAATAAATAAATGAACCACAAATAAAGAAGCCACTACAATAAGCCTCTGCTACTAAGAATGATCAGCAGCCAGAGGCTCAAGGGCTCATTCCTCCGAAAGCACAAACAACCTACTTTAGATGTACTCCAAACACCTTACACTGAAACTTTTAAAGCTGTCCAGACGTCTCTGGACCTAGTTTGTGCTCCGACACAGTAGCGCCCTCAGGGCTGGGCAGACACACAACAGCAAGCACTGAGTCTGTCAAGCTACTAAGGAGCCTCGCCCAGGCCCACAGACCAGCGGCTTATTTGCCGGCGGGTGCCTGGGGAGGCCGTGGGCTGGGGTTCCAGGTAAGCTCAGAGCTTCTGCACTGGGGACTCTAAGACACCTGTCTGGTGCGTCAGAGGACCCCCACCCCCTGAGGTCAGGTGGTGTTGCTACATAATGGAGCTTAGAGGACTGAACTATGATTTTACTTTCCCTTCAGTCACTAAAAATGAGCCATTTTTAGTGCTGATCTTTAAAAGATTAAAAAATTTAAAAAAAAAAAGGCTAAACAAGCATATAGACCCTCTACCCCCTACAAGCCCCATCTCATCAACCTTGACTTTACCTAGTTATCCTTATGAGGAAGCTGTCCACTTCTTCTAGAACGTTGGGAGACAGGAAAGTCGAGAAATCCGTAGATCCCGGTGAGAGGGAAAGCGGAGGCATGTGCTGCAGTGCCTTCCTGCAAGTGGGAGATGGAAAATCAGAACAAATCCAGGCCAAACATTAATTTAATAATATTCGATGAACACCAAATTGTTAGACGCCTGTTGGGAGTAATCCCTCATAAACAAAGTGTCCCCACAGAGAGCCCGGCACACGACACTGAACCAGCTTTTTCCCCGGGGGTCGCGGTGCCAAGTAACTTCACAGAGTTTCCTTCTTTTTTATTTATTCTTTCTTTTAAGAGTCCCATTTCCCTTCAAGGAGACTTATTCCAGTCTTTGGGATCAAGTCTTCATTTCACGCAGAGTAGGCAGAAGACATATAGACTCTACAGAAAAAACCCTGCAGTTCTTAGGGAACGTGACCCCAGAGGCAGAGCGGTTTGTGGCCCGGTAAGAAGCTCGTGTTATACATTCCATCTTGAGATCCATGGCATCTAAAGACACGCCACGAATTTTCTTTCCTCCTAAGCATGAGCACCTGTCACAGTTTCTAGTCTTGCCCCGCGTTTCTTGGCCTTTCTACCTTAATGTCTGCTTCAACGTTTGTCTTCTCTCATCTCCTCTTACGTTTATCCTTCTGAATCCCCCAAAAGTTTTACCTCCTCCAGACTAGTAGTCATCAGACAGACTGATGCAAACAAAAATGACTGGGTCCTAATCTACGCCAGCAACTGTGCTGGGTGAGCGAGTGTACTGCAAACAACGTGAAGGTGTGCAAAAAGTAACTCAAAACCCTACAACTGACAGTCATTTCAAGGGAACAGTAATGAGAACCCCTCCAACAGTGTTATCCCTACTTCAAAACGGAGACAACACG